CCTGACGACCAACATTGTAGATACGCCACTGCTAGTGGCGTCGAAATAGGGCGGATGGAGTGGTCAACCCAGGTGTCACTTTTTCTTTATATGTTGTTGTGGCATCTATCGATACCAAAATCTGCGATCATTTTCAATGAGAAGTATGGCAGAAATCGATGACACCGATGAATCTTGAGCGGTGGAGGCTTTTTGGGGCGCTTGCTCCCCAGAAAATTGTTGATTATTTCAAAATCAAGAGGATTATTTTTGAGTATACTTGAATTCGATGTTTCTATTATACCTTTTGAACAGAGGGGAACATAGTTAAGGTTTTGTTGGAGGCATTATTTAGCCAAGTGCCATATATAAACTGAATTCACTGTGATTGTGGCACGCCCCAAGGTTATCATTAGGGATAGGCTTATAATCAACCCCATAGTGTATCATTGATCAGCGTGATGGAAGGGGTGCATAATAAAGTGTGCTAAATACAGTCGTACAAACTCAAAATGCAGGGGTGCATTATTTTGGCGCATATTTGACTTTGTTGTTTCTTTCAGACAATTTGAGGTGGCACTTTAAATATTTTAGTGGAAAATGGAAAAATTATCCATAATAATGGCCAGACATCTTAAATTTCGCACCAGTGGGACGTAAACTATATTCACCCTAGGTATTTCTTTAGGATACTCTTTAGCCCTAGATTATATTATACATTTAAAATGTTAAAAATGCATTTTCACATATCTGAATTTAGCTTTGCAACATTCCACACTCAGTTGGAGAGCAACGAAAGATATTCTAGTTAAAATATAGATGCCACTTAACCCTAGAACCACCATGTGCGCCTAGTAACGCTTATGACTGCAGGGTGCCTTGGATATTTTAGAAGCTTAAAGATGTGATAGAGATATTTTCTTAACTATCAACTTTCCAAGCAGGGTTGTCAAAACGGAAATAGCATGACCTGCTTGTGTTATGCGACAACGAAAACTAAAATTAAAATAATTATTTAAATAAAAATTGTAATGATGCTCTTTTTATTTACATTATTATTTAGGGACAGCTACTTAATTAATAAAGGAATTTTCAAAAAAAAAAAAAAAATTTAATTAAAAATGGTTCCATCACTAAAAAGCAAGCAAACATTATTTTCTATGATGAACGCAAATAGAAAAAAAACAAACTTACTTGTAATTATAATGCTTTGACGAAATTTTCTAAATATGTCCTAATTTTATCAGAGTCAAAAAAAAAAAGAAAGAAAAAGAAACAGGCTTATTAAAAAGGTTCTACATTATAATGGGTGTAACACATCTACTTTGACATGGCGTGGGATCTTATTTCTTATGCTGTGGGTTATGTCAGTAGTATGGTTACTTATGTTAATACTTCAGGATGCCGACTAAGTCTTCTTCATTCTTTCACTTATTATCCATGCACGCAAAGAAGAATACTCAATTCTGGTTAAAACTCACAGTACTTTATTGAACACACTTTATACTGATAATATTAATGATAATCCTTGCATGAATGTAATTTCACATATATATATAGTATTCCATCATTAAGGAAGACACGTCCTCACACTTCTACAACTCAGCTCAACTGTCTAATCACACAGCTCTCCTAGCTCTACTGTTCTCTACTGCTCTGCGCTCCGCTCTTCTATATCAGTCAACTCATACTTTATTACCAGCAAAGCGTGGAAAACAACCGCTCTGACAAAACATAATTTTACTCTCCAAAAACGTGGAGCTCACATTGTCCTCTCAAAATACAATTCATTGTCCTCGTGGACAAAACATGGTCAACACCATTCATTGTTCACTCATGCTACCTCTCTGTTTTCATGTGAAAACATTGTCCGTTACAATGGGGTTTTGAAAACTGTTCATTTTTATAAACTGCATCAGAGAGGAATAACTATTTTAAGAAGACATGAATGTTTACAGATGACACTATATTTATTCATGGGATTTTATCTAAGGTAAATTCGTTTGTAAATTAAGTATAAATTTCCCAATATTGAGTAAATTGAAATTTTTATTTGGAATTTCAAACTACTAAAACTTTCTTGAACTGCCTATTCGCTCCACATTAAAACATTTGATCTAAATCCATATAATCTATATCAAATTTACGAATGAGGAAAAATATTTTTTTTTAAAACACGTACCAAAATAAAGCGTTAGCATAATAATCAAAATACCAGTTCACAAAATAAGAGTTAGCATAATAATCAAAATACCAGTTCACAAAATAAGAGTTAGCATAATAATCAAAATACCAGTTCACAAAATAAGAGTTAGCATAATAATCAAAATACCAGTTCACAAAATAAGAGTTAGCATAATAATCAAAATACCAGTTCACAAAAAAAGAGTTAGCATAATAATCAAAATACCAGTTCACAAAATAAGAGTTAGCATAATAATCAAAATACCAGTTCACAAAAAAAGAGTTAGCATAATAATCAAAATACCAGTTCACAAAAAAAGAGTTAGCATAATAATCAAAATACCAGTTCACAAAAAAAGCGTTAGCATAATAATCAAAATACCAGTTCACAAAAAAAGAGTTAGCATAATAATCAAAATACCAGTTCACAAAAAAAGAGTTAGCATAATAATCAAAATACCAGTTCACAAAAAAAGAGTTAGCATAATAATCAAAATACCAGTTCACAAAAAAAGAGTTAGCATAATAATCAAAATACCAGTTCACAAAAAAAGCGTTAGCATAATAATCAAAATACCAGTTCACAAAAAAAGCGTTAGCATAATAATCAAAATACCAGTTCACAAAAAAAGCGTTAGCATAATAATCAAAATACCAGTTCACAAAAAAAGCGTTAGCATAATAATCAAAATACCAGTTCACAAAAAAAAAATTGTATCTTTCAACTGGATTTTCCTCTAAAATAAAATTAATCATATTAAAAAATGATGTCAATGGATGGAGCACTTTATTTGTTATTCTGACATTAAGAGAAGAGCTATTGTGAAGTTGATAATAATAAATATAGGTTAAGGGCCAAGTATTTTAAAAAAATCTGTTATTTAGGAAAATTTGTAACAAAGGTAGTACATTTAGAGAAAACACATTTTTTTTTTGATTTAATAGTAATTTATGAAACGTGCGCTATTTCTTTGCGCCCTTTAAATTCTAAGTTAGGAAAAAAAGCATGATGCCTAATTTTTAGTCATGCTTTTACGATGAACTCTAATTGGAAAACAGATTGCAAATGTGTAATACTTGACTATAATTATAATTGTAGACCTTTATAGGGATATAAATGTATTTTAATATAGTGTCATTAAAGTCTTTAAACTTGTGGAGTTACAAAAAATAAATACATAAAAATAGCGATAGATGCAAACAATAGAAAGCAAGACTGGAGCGATCAGTGCAAACTTTAAACCGAATAATATAACTAGATTACCCTTAAATATACGGATCATCAAATATATCGAGCCTAGCGATATTTCATCGATTCCACAAATTGTCATCGGTTAAAGGCACCAGCTACTATGCATTTATGATTTTTAATTTTTTAAAATATATTTTTGTTATATTATTGTACACATTGTGCTCTGGCAGGCGGGAGGGGGCAGTTCCTCTCTCTCGGAGAGATAGCTGAAAAAAGAACACTGATTGCTAACAATAACCACATTTTTAGAAGCATGATGCCATCATTCAATTTGTAATTATCACCATTCCCTAGTTAAAAAGTCATGCTTTTATTGTAAAATATAATTCGAAAACATGAAAATATTGCTCATGGTTGATGCATAGGGATAACTCTATTAAATGTATAGACCTTGAATTTGAAGCAAATGTAGTTTAATACTGCATATTTCGACTCATAATCGACAAATTTTTCAAACATTGCAACATTTATAATCGAATAACGTAAGTTTCTAACAACATTAGCCTTAATTATATGGATCATCACATATATCGAGGGTGGGTATCGATATTTCATAGATTCCACTAACTGTAATCGGTTAATGACACCAGCTAATATTTTTTTAAATATAATTGTTTAAAAGGGGACAATTTTGTATTTTTAAAAATAAAATATACTTTATTTTATTGTTGAAAATATTTTTGTTCCCTGGGAGGCACTTGGCTTTTCCCGGGGGGGGGGGATAGCCCCCCCCCCCCCAAGAAAAGCCTAAAAAAAACCCTGTTTGACAGGGGGGACGGGGGACTGAAAAGATTTTTTTTTTTAAAAAAAAAAAATTTTTTTTTTTTGTGTTAAAAAATTTTTTTTTCCCGGGGGGGCCCTTGGCTTTTCCGGGGGGGGGGGGGATAGCCCCCCCCCCCCCCAAGATATAGCTAAAAGAAACCCTGTTTGACAGGGGTGAAGGGGGTCTGAAAAGGTCATTATTTGCGTGAAGTAGTTTTCGAGCAACCCATAAGAGTTCTTTCCCATGAAATTACCTAGAAACAAAAGGAAATACCCGCAATTATTTCTTTTTGTTTCAGTAAGGTCATCTTCCTCGTTCAAGGTGAATTTCCCCAATTTATTGCAGGTGCTTTAATTTTATTTTAATCTGCTCTTTGAAAGTTGTTTAAAAAATGTGTTTACTTGTTTAAAAAGAACCCAGGAGAACTTTTTAATAGAAGACAACTGGGCGAAAATTGTTTTGCGTCACAAAAGTAGTGGCAAATTACAAATAAAGTTTTTAGCACTATGGTTTCGTTTTCCATTCCTCGTTAGATTCATGAATTGAAAACCTTTCGATTTCTTGTCCATCCTTACATCTATAGATTTATTGGAATAAAATTAAAAAGATATGTATTTCCTTTCAATGATATTTAATATTTTTTTTTTAGTTGTAAATATTAAAGTTGAAAAAAAAAATGAAACGTAAATATAATTAGTCTATATAGTAGGGACAAAAGCACTCTCATGATAGTGATTAAAGAATAAATACATTAATTTGATAATTATGTGTTGAAAGTGTCATTAATTTTCTTTCTAACATTTTCTTTTTAAATACCGTAATTAAAGTATGGATGTATAAAAAGAAAATATTTACATTATCATTTTTATTTATATTTTAAGTTAAAAAGAAAGCTAGATTCTTAAAATGTATGATTTAGTTGCAGCCACTGAAACAATGATGCCCTCCATAGCATGTCAAATTTTGCCCTCCCACTGCCTAAAAAAGTGTTTTAAATTATTTGTTTAAAAACAGAAACGCTTTTTTTAATATCAATAGTGTTTTTTTGGGTGTCTTTTGTGGTTTGTGTATTTTAAAATGAATTTGAGTGAATATAAATAGATTGGCTTTATATCCAATATTGCAAGTTTAAATGTTGTCATGAACATATGTAGGCATCCAAAATGGCCAGCAAGACACACGTTCAGAGATACATAGATTTTATAAATCATCAAATGGATATACTTAAGGGAGAGAGGAAAACTGTACTAGAGGCTGCAGACGATGCTATCCATCAGGTAATTAATTATGCTATCCATCAGGTAATTAATTATGCTACCCATCAGGTAATTGATTATTTAAATACGTTTCCTTTTTAAATATCTAAAGTAAGATTATTAAAGCACACATTTGTCATAACAAATTACGGACTTAAGCAAAAAAAAAGGAAAAAAAAAAAGATATTTTGATTAAAAATTGTATTCTCGAACTAGAAAAATAAATTATATTTCTTTAATTAATGACTTGAAATGTAAATAATTTCAAATATACTGTTGTTTTGTTTTATTTAATTAATGTATGTTAATTAATTTTTAATGTTTTTTATTATTTTAGTTAAATTTTATGTACAGCATGGTGAGCCCAGCCCTAGGCTGGGGTAACATGCTATATAAAAGGACGTATAAAAATAATAACAATAATTAACAAGTTATTAAAAACCATTTATAAAATGTAAATTCAATGTCCTTGTATATCTTGAGTAGTTAGAAAGTGAAATAGATGCCTGGGTTGTTGGTGGACTTGTCAATCAAACAACATGTGCCCAGATGAATAACAGAATTTCACAAGTTATAACTTTGTTTATGGCCAAGTCTGTTGAAATCTCAGGTATATAATTAAAATAATAAAATATCCATATATCTTTATTACATAATGTAAAAATTAATTTGATAATAATACGAGCATTAATGTTTTTATTTTTAAATTCTATATTAATTAGTTTTTTTTAAATGTAACTTTTTCTTAGCAAAAAAAAAAAAGGGTGAATGATTTAAAGAACCGTAATTTAATAACAATGTAAAACAATGGTTTTAAAAATCTATTGAACTACTGATATTCCAAGGATTTTATTTCACATAAAATTTATTTCTAAAAAAAAATTGGATTAATATATATGTTACTTTCTTATCATTTTTTGACATATTCAGATCTTGAGATTAAAGAAAATGAAAGTGATCTAAATCAAACTTCTTCGGCATCTAGCAATGATTCACTAATTCCTAAAGCCAGTTACACAAACGAAGAAGTCCAAGAGAGAACGACGTTTAGTAGAGACGAAACACTAAATAAATCAGGTGAACAATTTTTTATTTGAAATATTTCTTTACTTAATAACTTTGTTCATTTATTTGTATATTTAAATGTATTCAATTGCTTGAAAATATTTGTTAAACTCTAATTATGCCATTCACGCTTTTTTAAGGTTAGGGCCGCCTAAAGACATTTTCCATTCATCTTGGTTATGAGACTTCCTTTCCAATTGCTTCCAGGTTTTATCTCATACTTTGTGCGTCTACCTGTAACTTCCGACTCCATGTACTCTGTTCCTTTGTCTCTTCCTTTTACCCCGCGGTTTTATGGTAGGAACAGTCTTATGATGTTTTAAAGGAGATAACGGATAGTGTGCCATATCCACCTTTATATTTTTCTTATGATATGAATTGACTCTCGGTCTGTCGCTTCCTGTAAGACTTTTTGGAAATGTGGTTTGGCCATTTGATGTTCAGGAACATTCTAAGGCAACTATTTATAAAGGTCTATACTTTTTGCATGATGCTCGCTTTATTTCTACAGGTTTTGCTTCCTTGGATTAGGAATGTAATCAAATAATTTGTGTTGAAATGTTTGATTGTGTTTTGCAAGGTCAGCTGTCGGGATTCATATATTTTATATAATAGCACATATGTTGGCCTAGCTTTTCCAAATCTATCCGTGACGTCAGCTTCGGTACTACATTTTTTGTCAATGGTTCTGACCATTATGTGAAGACCTCCACGTTTCCCACAGCATATCCAGCCAGAGATATACGCTCATGGCTGGTTAAGCTTAAGTTCACGATCTTTGTAATGCTTTTATTTATATTGAGTTAGAGCTGTGATGAAATCGTGGCTATATCTTTCGTATTTCCACGCAATTATTGCTGTGTGTGAGACCGAAGTGCAATGCAATCTATGAAGTCTAGGTTATTTAGTTGTCCCATAGTGTCCACTGCATACGGTTGTTCTTTTGACTGGATTTTTTTTTTTTTAATAAAAAGGGTTTTCAAGAGAAATCATTGTCTGACATCCATTTCCACTTTAAAGCACATATGAGTCTACTTTCCCAGGCATTCCGAAAATCAAAGATGTAGCCACAATTTTTGTCGGTACAGGCTATGAAATGCACTTTCGTAGTCGATAAAATATAGATATAAGGAGGAGTTGCATTCGATGGATTGTGCAACATTGATTTTCAGTGTTGAAATTTGATCTTTTCTTGAACTGTTGCGGCAGAAGCCAGCTTTTTGGAACTCATAGCTGCATATCGACCTAGTCCTTCATTATTTTTCGAATAATTAAGATTTAAAAACTCACTGGCACTGACAGCAGTGTAATTCCTCTAGTGTTCACAGTTGCCGAGATTCCAATTCATTTGTATCTTACAAGGTATTTGTATCTTACAAGGTATTTGTATCTTACAAGGTATTTGTATCTTACAAGGTATTTGTATCTTACAAGGTATTTGTATCTTACAAGGTATTTGTATCTTACAAGGTATACATCTTCCAATCTTTAAGAACTCTCTCTGGTTCCTATTTATTTTCAAATAAATATAGTGGCATGTTGACTATTGTACGTAGATTTGCTCTCATCTTCTCTGTTGTGATGTTATCCGGTCTGTGTGCTTTCCTAAATTTAAGCTGATTGATTTCAGGGAAATTTCATTCCTATTGTGGGCAGTGTCTTGACTTTTTATATCTTTATGTGCATATTTTTAACTGGTGTGTCTTTGGGTTGAGTTCTGTTTTATAATTTCTTACAGTTTTTCACCCACATTTTTTTCATTTTCTCATTGATTTATTGTCCTTGCCTTTAACCAGTCTTTCTTGCTTCTTTTATCTTCATTAGAGCTAACTTGGTATATCACAGAGCTCTTTTATGATCCGCTTTCTGGTTGCTTCTTATGCTGTTGACGCTAGACCATCTATGTTGAAGATCTGTCCGTTTACTGCAGAGTTTCTACAGCTCCTGGGCATGTACACTTGCAACAACAACAACAACGTCATCATAATCGGCGACACAAACTGCCATTATGATTCCACCACCAACAGTTATGTGAAGACCCTAAAATCAGCTCTTGACACAAGCGGAATGACTCAGCTTGTCAGTGTCCCGACACAGAAGCGAGGTCACATCCCAGATTGGCTAGTTGTCAGAGAGGACCGTGCAGCTATGAACCGCAACCTCATTATTGAGGACAACGTGATCTCTGATCATTTTTCAGGAACCTTTGACTTTGATTTGAGGAAGCCAGAGTGCCTTCTGCGCACAGTTACATCCCGTGACCTCTGTAAGATAGATCTGGTGGCCTTCAGGTGTGACGTCACTGCCGTGAGGTGCAGTGCAAAAGAACCTGCGACAGACTACAACAGTGGCCTCAGAGTCATTTTAGACAAACATGCAGCACTGACCACACGGTTCGTTAAGGACCACCCTTCCGCTCCATGGCTCACGCCCGAAATAAAGGAAACAGAAGCAGCGACGTGCAGAAAGCAATGGCGGAAGTCTGGCTTGACCATGCACCGACAAATCTTTGTTGATTGCAAGGAACGCACTGAGAAAATGGTTCTTGCAGATAGGGCTGAATATGTCAGTCACCATAGTGTAGACTGTGGCTCAAGTAGGGACTTATTTCGTATTGTAGGTCAGCTGACCGGTAAACAGAGGCATGCACATTTGCAAAATAACATTGCCGTAGGCGAGCTGCCAGACGCTCTCAATGAGTTCTTTATTACAAAATTTACGAAGATCAGGAGGAGACTTGACATTTGCACCGATGCTCTCGAATTCTTGCAGTTTAACGACACTCCTATGAGCGAATTTTTGGAGGTCAAAGATTCTCAGGTGAAGAAAAGCCTGGTTGACTCCCCGAAAAAATCATGATTGCTAGACCCTCTTTCGAAAGGGCTGTTTTACGAATGTTTGGATGAAATAGTCCCTGTCACAACTAGTATCATAAATCAGTCTTTGGAAACTGGTACTGTTCCATCCTCTTTTAAAGAAGCGGTTGTAACGCCATTGCTAAAGAATGTCAACATACAGGGCGCATCACTCTACTGAGACAGCCCTGTTGCACGTCGTAAATGACCATCTGCAGTGCTGTGGATTAGGGCAAGGTATCCATTGTGTCGTTACTTGGTCTATCGGCAGCGTTCGGTGCGCTTGACTACGGCATACTTCCCCAACGTCTGCAGAAAACTTCCGGTTTAACCGATACCGTCCTGAGATGGTTTCGCTCGTATCTGACTAATCGGGTCCAATCGGTTATCGGAATCGGCTTGAGCTTAAAGTAATCTATGATCGACTTCTGAGTACCCCAGGGCTCAGTACTAGGCCCGGTGCTTTTCACGTTCAGCCCATGGGTTCAGTGATCAAGCAGTTTGATAGGCTATATCACATGTTCGCGGATGATACCCAACTTCAGAAATCCGTGATTACCTCTTAGTTCCCTCAGTTTCTTAGTATGACACAGAAGACAGTGGAGTCAGTTAATCACTGGATTAAACAAGCTCAAATTAAACGATGAAAAGACCGAGCTTCTTCTTCTTCTATACATTAAGTGACCACGATCAATTTATTGATCATTTTGGCTCGTATTGCTACTCCTAGAGCTGATCCCCATTGCTACCGCTCAAAAGTTAAAATATGTAAATAAAACACAATCCCTTACTCTCTCAGGTGTGCAGATTGAGTTTGCTCAAACAGTGCGAAACCTGGGCGTCTATTTAGACAGAACACTAACTATTAAAAATCACGTTAACATACTTTGCAAGGCAATTTTTCTAGCGCTGCACAGAATAATTCATATCATACCTTACTTAACGTTTGATGCAACAAAGAGAATGATGTCTGCATTAGTGCCATAACGCATGTACTACTGCAATGCTCTCATGGTGGGTCTTCCAGCTAAGCTCCTGGATAAAATTTAAAAAGGACAGAAAAATGTGGCTCGCATTGTTCTTGGCAAACGCAAATTTTACCATGCTAAAACACTTCTGAGACAGTTGAATTGGCTGCCGGTGCGCGCTCGCATAGAGTATAAAATTACAACTCTGTGCTACCGCTGCTTGCATGACCTGGCACTGTCCTATCTCAAAGTGCTCATGACGACTTATGTACCAAATAGACAACTCCGATCATCCGATAGTGGCTAACTTTGAATACCACGTGTTCACCTTGAGACGTACGGAAGGCGCACTTTCGCATATGCTGGCCCAACAATTTGGAACACACTTCCTGTCACTGTCAGAAACAGCCAGACACTGGAGTCTTTCTAAACAGTTTTGAAAAAAAAAATCTATTTCATAAACACCTGCTGGGGTGAAGTTGTCTACCATCTTCTTCAGCTAGCTGTTATCTCCTAGATGTATATTGGCTTGTGTTGTTTATGGTTGCAAGCGATGAAAGACTTAGAATGGGTATTCTTGTATTTGTATTTCACTGTGGTAAAATATAGATTTTTTCATTTCTCTTTTAATGTGGTTGACTTTGTACCACGCTTCGAGCCTTTGGGGATGAAGCATGATTTTCAAATAAAGTTTAAATTTGTTATTATTATGTAGGCTCAATTATCCTTAAAAAAATTATCTTTACCCTTCTTTTTGACTTTTTAATTTTTTTTTATGTGCTTTGGATTTCTCTACTCGGTTGTAGTTGTTGTTTACTGTACACTTCATTTCGTTCCTCTTATTTATTTGTTCAAAGTGTTTAGTGAGAGCAAATCTTTGTGTTTATGTTTCCCCGGTCCTATTATCTCGTTGCACGTAGTTGATACTGTCATCTTACGTTCAAGAATCTGTTTGGTCATGAAGCACCCGAAAATTATTTCTCAAAATAACTCTGAATTCCTGTCCTTTTTTACCAGAAGTGCTATTTTGTATTTTAGTCTTGTAGCAGCTGGTTCTTCCCAGTTTTACCTAAGTATTAGCGCAAATCTTGCCCAAACTTGAATGTTGTCAGACATAACATCAGCGTCTCTTTTGTAGAAATCTTCTGATCTTTTTGCTTTGCCTATTTGATTAATTTTTACTTCTGTTTTGTTATCAGGGAAACACAAGTTACATTGTTTTTTTTTTGTTGCTGTTTCTGGAATTTGAACCCCAACTTAAAATCTCATTTGCCGCCTTGAAATTGTCAGTATTACACGTTTTCAATTAACATTTACATAATTTTGCACCCCATTATTTCTACGAACCCTATATTTTCTTTCCAAGTATTTGCATTTGGGCAACATATTATGATACTAAAATTTCTACCTGAAAATTGTTTCTGTATGTCTTTTAGTCTAGTGTAGAGAGCTTTTTTTCATAATGAGTACTATTGTTGGTGGATGCATAGCACTGTATTACATCATATTAATTTTCTTTTTTGTTTTGTTTCGGAAAGCTGCTGTATTTATTTTAGAACAAGGGATAAACTATCAATTATCTTTATGTCAGTCAAAAGACAACGAAAGTGTGTTAACAAAAGACGGATATCAGAGTTGTGGAAGAAATATTTCAAAACTATATTTTACTTAATTTAAATAAGAAATTATAAATATAAGGCATTTATGACACTGATATTAAATTCCCCACCTTTGAATACTATGGTTGAAACTAAATTTAATACATTAAATTTTCTATTTTAAAACAGGTGTAGATATTCCTTATGTTACCACTACGAGAATTGCTATACTAGAGGAAGCTGTATTCTCACTTAAAAAGACAACAGAGCAAGTTGAAGAGAAACAAGAAAATTTCAACAAAAAACTCGAAATATTAGCAAATACATCTTTAAAATCTACGAAAAAGATTAAAGAAAGACTCGCAGTACTTGAGAAAACAAACCAACACATTGCCTCAACTGTTGACGATTTGTTTGAAACTGTAAAAAATGTTGATGTCAAGTTGAATATATCAGAAGAAGAAAATAAGTCTGTCAATGTCTCAATAAATGAACTCAATAAACAGATCAGCTCTGTCAGAACTTGTAGCAATGACGCCCTTATCTTTATGCAAGATTTGGCAAAAAGCGTCGATGGTACATATCTACGGTATAATGAAATGTCTAACAAAATGAATCAACTGGAAATCTCAATTGATCTCATGTCAACTCAGTACAAGGGGTTTTTTGAAAATATGATCCACAGTCTACGGGATAAACGTGCCCATGATGATTTGGTAAGATACTTTTTTTTCCACCAGTGTCTTTATAAGAAAGATCCTGGCCATCCATAAAACTTTCGAAATGATTTCAATTAGAGAAATATTTAATTTCTTAAAAGTCCAGGATACAGAAACAAACAAAAAATCGTAGGCTAAAAATGAAAGAGAGAAATTAATGTTTAATATACTACTATATTATAAGAATATTATAACGATCAGAACAATAAAATATAAAAAAAATATATATAAAAAATTAAAGGGGAAAAAAAGACAGAAATAAAAGAAATGTTAGTTTTTGACCATTTTCGTACGGTACATGTATAGTTAATAACATTTTTAATTTCCAACGTCTGTAACTTGTATTTTTCTAAAAGTTTTAGACACCAGAAATTTCTTGATCTCTGTACATTTTTGAGATTGATTTATGTGCGACCAAATTTCGGAAAATTAAAATCTCCGACCTTTCCCGGATATGCGGTAAAGTTATTTTAAAAATTGCCCACTGTCATCGTAGGTAAAATTTATTTACATAAACTTTCTAAGAAAATGTTCAGTGTAGCAATGTTTTCTATATGTTCTTCAGTATCTTAACATCATAATGGGTTACAGTTTGTAAAAAAAAAAAAGAAAGTACAGTAGATCTTTAAATTTCAGAATGGCGAGTTTCCCAACTTTTGGATCTCCGAATAAAAACGTTTATTATTTTTATCATTTGCAAAGCACTTGGTTGTGTATTAATTAAAGAAAAACAGAAGAAATAACGCGATACAGTGTTAAAATAACAAACAAAAAAAAAACAGAAATAAATTGCTTGATTAAAGTTATGGCCGGTTTTGTTAGATTTTTACAATTATGGCGTCAGTTTGATTTGTAAAATCATGTCACCTCTTTAATTTGTAAAATTATTTCGACTGTAAAATGTGTACAATTATGTCGTCAGTTTGGTTAGTAAAATTATGCCGCCGGAAGTGTTATGTTCATTATTTCCCAATCTTTAATAAAATTCTAAAAATAAAATATTTCAAATAAAATTCTTTCTTCAACAATTAAAAAAAAAAAAAAATTATAATAATGTTCTATTGTAATTTTGTAATTTTAGATTAATACTACAATTATTTTTAAATTAAATAATAGTCATTTATCATTCTTCGTTTATTTAGCTTTGATAATATGTGCCTTATTCATAGATTGGTATGGTTTGTCAACTGATATCTAAACGTCTGGCTCCATTGGAAACATTAAATAAAACTCTACACAAGAAATTAATCTTGAGCAAAGAACATATTTCAAAGGTAAATTTGTACTTGTAACTATAACCCATTTATTACCCCGTGTATCGTGTGTTGTTATTTAAATTGTATGTCTTTCATTAGATTGTTTTTGTTTGACAATGTCTCCTTTGTTAAATTGTGAAGATCAAAATTGCACTCTATTCAGTAAACAATGTAAGTTTAAAAAAAATGAAATAAAAATTAATTGATCATGTGTGTGTTTGAATCATATGCTAAGAGACACATCATTTGAAACAGTGAATCATAAGAAGAATAAACCATTACGCACCATTTAAACATGATATTAAACACTAATATATTAAATAATATATTAAGTATAAGCAAGAAAGACATCATATATTTTCAGAGTATTCAGTAGGGTTTATTTTGAAATTCATTACACAATTATCCTTTCATTAAGTAATAAAATTTTGAGAGAATTTTGATTTTTGATTAGCATAAATTTAAATATTCAAATTATGAAGAATAAATAAAATTTCTTACGGTAAATAAAATTATAGTGGTATATAACTATATTACAATCGCAATCAAAATTTTGAGCACTCTCTAATGGACCAAGGGTAAATCAATTTAAACAACAATAAATACATTTGTTTCAATCTATTGGCTAAAATAAATTTAAAATTGTGAGAACTGCATATTCTGATTTGCAATAATTTGTATCAAATTGTGTGTTATCATAATTAATTCTTTTATTACTGTATCTCTAATGTGAAAGAAAGACGAATTCGGGGATCAATGGTTTATTCCTTCCGATATGCCAAAGAAAAAGGTCTAAACATGGAGTTAGAGAGCAAGTTACGACGCAGACAAAAAGACTTTAACCCTCGTTACTTCTCAAATAATAAGCTTTTCTTGTTTCGTTTTGTATGCTGAATAAGTGAAATTTGTCCAAGACGTCCTTTTCACTGTCTTGTCTTTTTTTTCAAGCATTGACATATCTTGTTTGACTATTTGTCAAACATTATAATATATATAAGATTATCTCGTATAATATCCTGCTGATTCTCATATCAGTAAATGTCGTATTAAGAAGCTGTACGTTTGATGTTGATGATCTTGTTTAACAGCGCTGTTAATGCTGTTGTTCTAAATCAGAAAATATTAGATAGTGCGAATGCCAAGGTTGATACCAATTCGGGGTCCATTCTTAAGTGACGTCACGATATTTTGTTCGCTATTACCACCCCCCCCCCTTTTTTTCCACATCACACAAAATTTAAGACACCTTGAATATACATCCACCTATATGTAATTAAATCTTTTAATTAGCATTCCTTTTTATTTAGAACCTCACCACTCATTTTTTTAAATTGTAGTTGCTTTATTAATATTAAAAATATGTTTAAATCTCTTCTAGAGTCATTCATTAACAGTGCTGGTTGGACAATTAAAAGAACTTTGGGATGGAATCCAAAAAATCAGTGGAAATAAGCTGACAATTGAGCTGAAAAGCTACGCAGTAACATTTGAGGAACTCACTTCATTGATTAAGACCCGCCTTAGTGGATTACAACAGGTGGACATCGTGGTTGATGGAACAAAGGAAGAGCCATTAAAAGCTGAGGCTAACACTGATGTAAAAAGATCACAAATGGAAGCCCTCATTTTCATCGCCCTGATTCAAATCGAAAACGAAAAGATTTTGAACACTTTGGAGAAGAAACAAGTGGGATATAATTTTATTTTTTAAATCTATTATCATAAACAAAATATTTTTCTTCACTTTAATGCATTCGAACCCTTCTTCAAAACAAATTATTTTGTCTTAAATTTTTTTTATATACATTTTTTTTAAAAAATGTAATTTTTTTCCCTCCATTTTCTCACTATTTAAGTTATTAAATATTTTACTATTTTAAAAAAATGACTTGTTTACACTGAACCCATTTTAAAAATTATCATGATGAAATTTCGAGAGTAAGGGAAAAGTCTGTGTAGACAAATAAATCAAGCATCTGGTGGGTAAACTGTTGTTTTCTCATATTAGTAGGAAACTGTAAATATGTTACATATGAAATGTTAAGATTGTAATAATTATTGCAATTAGCGAAAAAATACTTTATTTTTTGTCATTTTTATCTATTAATGAATTGATTTATTTTGTTGTTGTTTAGGATGCATGGAGGCACACAGAAGATGTGAGCAGGATCATTTTAGCTTTGAAAACTGTCACCAGTGTTACAGCAGAAATTACTGAGTGTCTGTTGAAAAGAACCATTTTGGAATTGAATTCTGAGCCGACCCTGAGCAAAATGGTGGAATTAAATCAAGACATAAAATCACAAGAGAACTTAACTTTAAATGAAAGGCACACAATAACAGAGGCTGACATTTTTTGTAAACTCCTTGGTTTAAATCATGAAATTGGAGAAATGCTTTGGTCATTGGATGAAAGTCAATGTCTTCATCAAACTACATTCTACTTTATTGAGCGATGGATGGAGGATGCTGAAAAGGAAATTAACGATGAAGAAGTTGAGTTTACAGGTGCTTTAAGTGGTAATGAGGCATCAACAGAAAAGAGAGAAAAATTGATTTCTGTTGTCCAACACCTTGGTTTAACAAAAGAAACAGCCGAACAGCTGTTTTCCACTATTCCAATTGAATATATTGATCTACAAACACCATCCTACTGGATAATGAGATACATCACAAACATCATTGAATGCCATCCTGTCTTTACTAACGTTAATAGATACATTTACTCTGAGGATACAACAGGGGAATGGTTTAAAGAAATTATTGAGCTTACCGACACAAATGAAATGAGAGACACGTCAACATTTAAGATTAAAATGATCAATCACGATGCAAGTGAAAAAAGCAAAACAGCCGTGAAGAGCTTTTTAGAGGAAATTCAAACTGAAGAACATTGTGAAGTTCTTTTCCATGGAACTGATCACACAAGTGCTAAATCGATTATAGAGGAAGGAATACTGATCTCCAAAGGAAAACCATGCCAAGACTTTTCCTCTAATGATGGATTCTACTTGTCGGATTCGTACGAAAAAGCACGTGAATGGTCTTCTATCGGTAGAAAACACCATCATGCAGTTTTGGTGTTAAAAGTCGAGACGTCTTTACTGGAGGCTGATGGCGTCAAACGGTTAGATCTTTCTGGTGATAAAAAACAATGGGAAGAACTTGTAACATTCTGTCGCAAAGGTTGTATAGGTGAAAAAACAAAGAAAAGGTTGCTCGGTGGAGTTGAGTTTATTAAAGGGCCAATGTGTCTGAATGGAAGAGGTGTAGCCAAGGGAAAGCACGCAATAGGTTTTGGACGCAATGATAACCTTCAAATGTGTGTCAGAGATGATGATTACGCAAAATGGTTTGGATTGATTGATAATATCACTGGCGTTATTTTTCTATAACATTTCTTTTTCTGTTAAAAAACCCGTGTCCTTGCTGTCATTATCTAATGATGTAATATTACAACTATTTTTTAATACCAATATTATGATAAGCTAATTTAATTCTCAGGTTTAAGGAATAGCAAAAACATAATTCTAAAGATTTCCTAAGCCTTTTTTCTTGATTTAGTTAATGCCTCATGCTAAAATTTCAGCAGTCTTGTATTCTCTAAGAATAATTGATGTGACCCCACACCAACCTCCCCACCTCACCTAACCTGGGCATGCTTGCGCTTGGTATGGGGTGATCCATTAATGAGACCCTAAAGAAAAATTCAATCTCCTTTTTAATTATTTCGTAATTTCGTGAAATAAATACAGTTAGGTTTTTATAAATGCATTGTTACGTTTGTATAAAACAAATGGCATTTTATATTAGCATGTAGTAAATTACAGGGGTCGAGTCCTACATGAACGCATGATATCGGCGATCCTGTGCTTTTATTTATATTGTTTGCTAATCAATAAATAGTTATCTACACCAGTGTTGTAAAATTTTGCAGCCTGACAAAAATTTAAACGCTATTTAACCAAAGTTTATAATTCTAGTAAATATTTTCGTTGGATTAAGATCAATTTTTTAAATTGAATCTGTACATTTAAATAAGTATTATTCAAAGTTTAATTCAGGGGAGGCCAAACCAAAAAAAAAAAAGATTTGCTGGCTACTTTGACAGCGTGCGAACCGTTCACCAGCCGCATGCCAGTTCATCTTAAATTAAGATATTGAAATAGCCCCACATATATTTGTATCTGTTCTTAATGGGCATACAGAAATGGTAAATATCAAAACAAAATGAAACTGAATTGTTAAGGACTTGAATGTATATTGTGATTGCGTGTTGTTCAGCGAGTATTTGGGTAGATGTTGTTATTAAATGTTTGATATTTTGTGACGCGTTGCGTGATAGGGGATATGACGCATTATTAGTGTGGTCTTGTGAGTAATGGCAGATGAGATCTAGTTAATAAAGACACTGTATTTTAATTTAATAATCAATGGTTCGTGAAGTGAATATAATTAAACCCCTAGACCAGAGTTTCCCAAACTTTTAAGTTTCACGGAATATATAATACGCCAGAGCGTGCAAGGCGCAGTCTCGAGACGTGCGCACTGCGGTGGAGCTACCAACAATTGTTGAGTTTAATAATTTCTGAAAGAAACAAAAAAAGGAATATATTTTATTTATTACCCATAAAAATATTTTTAAAAGCATATACATTATAAGGGTAAGATCAAACAACCACTCATTTTACAGTGCATTCGTTTGTGTTTCCCAGTTAACATACATCACATATATTTTGCTTGATCAATAACGCATACAATAAAGTAATTGAAATCTGGAATTTTCTAATTTATTCAAGCTTTTGGTGGAAAGAGTATGACTAATCAAAAGCATCCCAGATTTGTCTCGTAGGTTTTCAATTATTATTTATAATAATTATAATTGAATATGTTAAATTGATGCTGTTGTTACCTTTTTTGAGTGTAAATTTGGAATGGACAATTGCTCGATGGATTAGTTTGATAGAAGGTTGGTGGCAAAGTGCCATGACAGGCAATTCAGGCTCATACCAGCAAGAAGCCAGTATAGGAGCTGCTCATTCCTGCCCAAGACAATCAGGAACTGGAACAATCTTTCAAAAGGAACGGTTGAGGCGACAACACTAGACACATTTGTGTCTATTGCCTCAAGCCTTCAAACCCCCAGTGCATGATTCCCTCACAAAGTGGCACTGGAAATCTGTGAAATTTCCTCATCAACACCAGGAACAGAAACATTGCAAATCCCATCTACATGCATAGGAGCCAAAATGATCAATAAATTGATCGTGGGCCCTTAA